TGACGCGGTCGGTTGCAGGATTTCAGTGACTGACTAATGTCATACTAGTATTTAGTCCATATACTACTCGCAATTAATTTTTCAGATTTTATAAAGTAGTTGCAAGATTAATGCAATTCCTTGTCGCTCGCCTCTCGGACTATTACATTTTGGTAATTTGTTAAAAATTATCGGCATTTTCTTCGCAGCACCTGAGAGGCCGTACTTGAAAATTATCTTCCAGAAGCACTGGAACCAATATTATCAGACCTCTTCAAATAATTACAAAAATTAATTCTTTTTCAAATTTTAATACATTTACCGGGTACGGTTCGGTTATTTGTACAATGATTTTTGGCTATTGTGTCTAAACGCTTGACCCGAATCAAAAAATTCGGCTTCAAATATGCCCTTTAAAAATCAAAGAGGAAGAAATTGAGGAAGTTAAACTCATTAAGTACCTGGGTATATATATAGATAATAAACTTAAATTTGATGAGCATGTTGAGCATACAGTGAACAAAATTGCGAAAGAGAAGAAGGTATAAAACCCTGGTCTATAGATCTATAGTAGAACCACATTTTATATACTGCCCAACAATCTTCTTCTTAGCAAGCGACGCAAATATCGAGAAATTGCAAAAAATGCAAAATAGAGCTATGAGGTTCATATTAAATAAGCGTTACGATACACCTACACAGGAGATGATCACAGATATGAATATGTTGAGTGTTAAGCAACAGGTTTTCTATCATGCTAAGAAATTCGTATACAACATAAAGAACGGTAAACTTCCAGACTATCTGAGCGACAATCTTCGGTATATAAATGAAACTCATTCATATATACTCAGGGAAAACAATTGCTTTAGACTCCCACTTTATAGAACAGAGGTAGACAAAAAAAATATATTTTATAAAGGTTTAAAGTGTTTTAATGAGTTACCGCCACATGTAAAAGACTGTGATAACTTTGTTGCTTTTAAAAGACAACTATTTGTTCACTGTAAAACTCTGGCTATTAGGTAGGAGAGCACGAAACGGAATGGAAACCAGGCCTCTCCATCCGACCAAGCAGCAAATGATCTAGCATACGAAAGCTTCCGACTATGCCCAACAGCCCGACCATAACGCGGAGCGGAAACTAGACCTTTCCGCCCGCCTCATATCACGGAATCCAGCGTCAGGGTTTGCATATTAATGACGACGGGAACATGGATCGGAGACTCGGCCTTTCCGACCGTGACTATCAACTCGTGGGCAACGCGGAGCGGAAACAAGGTCTTTCCGCCTGCTGCACATAGTACATATTTAAAGGTAGACTGGAGACTAGGCCTCGCCAGCTACCAAACTAGTTAGACAATATACATTTATATAGGTTAATTGATAGTTTTAGAAACATAAACCGCTTTGTAATTGAAAATTTAAACTTACATATACGCATACTTTGTTATATATTAAAAATACCTATCTGTACTTTTAAGTCGCAAGACTGTAACAAATAAATAAATAAAATTTCGAGGCGGATTCTGCGCAGAAATACTGTGGTCAGCGTAGCCGCGGTTGGGCTTATGAGGGTTATTATTTCTAAGCCGAAGGCCGCCAACGCGGAAAGGTCCAATACAAATAGAGTTGTTCAGCAATACAAATAGAGTTTTTTTCGTTTAGCTACTTAGGAGTTGTACTTTATATCGTATTTTTGCAGTCGAGCACTTAATAAATCTTTAGAAAAGGTCATAATTTGAAAGCTTACATATTTTCCATTCAGAATGACTGCAAGTAATCCGAAATGATTACGTTCCAAGACAACTGACAAATATGAAATTTTGAGTTGTGTCGTTATTACAGAGGACCATCGATATAATTCCAATATTCCGGTAATAAAAGAAGGAAAAAAGAATTATACTTAGTAAGGGTTATAATCCCTACGCAGAAAGAAGTTCTGCTTAAAAATGTTTCCGCCCCTCTACTCCGGCAACATAGAAAGGAGAATTATATAATAACTAAGTGCGGCCGAAGACAGCCCTCGCTGAAAGAAGTTCAGCGCAAAAATACTTCCGCCCCTCTTCTCCTGCAACACAGAAAAGAGAATCTACTTAGCAAGGGTTATAATCCTAAATGGCAGAAATGAGTTGGACGCAGAAATATTCTAATAGAGTGGCAGCACTAATTTCCCTTCATCTTATTTATATTAACTTGGTACGGATTTTTAACACCGGAATATTGGAATCAGGAGTGTTCAAGAAATAATTAATACGTGTTAATAGGCCAACCTTCTTCTTCTTAATTGGCGCTGTAACCGCCTAAGCGATTCTGGCTGAGTCCAAAACAGCACGCCAGTCATTTCTCTTCTGTGCTAACTGACGCCAATTGAAAATGCCAAGTGAATCCAAGTCCTTCTCCACCTGGTCTTTCCAACGCAGAGGAGGCCTTCCTCTTCCTCTGTTCCCAGCATCGCGGCCCGCGTTGAATATTTTCAGAGCAGGAGCGTTTCTGTCCATCCGAACGACATGGCCAAGCCAGCGGAGCCGCTGAATTTTAATTCGCTGCACTATGTCTATATCGTTGTAAAGCTCATACAGCTCATCGTTAAATCGTCTGCGATATTCGCCATCACCAACGCGTAAAGGTCCGTAAATCTTTCGCAGAATCTTTCTCTCGAAAACTCCAAGAGCCGCCTCATCAGATGCTTTCATTGTCCATGCCTCCGCGCCATACACCAGCACAGGCATGATGAGTGACTTATAGAGTGTGATCTTTGTACGACGAGAGAGGACTTTACTTCTCAATTGCCTACTCAGCCCAAAGTAGCACTTGTTGGCAAGAGTGATTCTCCGTTGGATTTCAAGGCTGACATTATTATTGGTGTTAATGCTGGTTCCCAAATAAACGAAGTCGTCTACTTTTTCAAACTTGTAACTGTCAACAGTGACGTGGGTGCCAAGACGCGTATGCTCTGACTGTTTGTGTGATGACAGGAGATACTTCGTTTTGTCCTCGTTCACCACCAGACCCATTCGCTTTGCTTCTCTATCCAATCCCGAGAAGGCAGAACAGGCGTAGCCCTTGTTTTTACCGATAATATCGATGTCGTCGGCATACGCCAGCAATTGTACGCTCTTATAAAGCATTGTGCCTGAGCGGTTCAGTTCTGCGGCTCTTATTATCTTCTCCAACATAAGATTAAAGAAATCACACGAAAGGGGGTCCCCTTGTCTGAAACCTCGTTTGGTATCAAACGGCTCGGAGAGGTCCTTCCCTATTCTGACGGAGCTGGTGGTATTGCTCAACGTCATTTTACACAGCCGTATTAGTTTCGCGGGGATACCAAATTCAGACATCGCGGCAT